TTGTACTGTGGGAGGAAACCGGAGCACCCGGAGGAAACCCACGCAGACCTGGGGAGAATGTGCAAACTCCACAGAGACAGTCACCCGAGGCTGGAAACAAACCCAGGTGAGGCAGCAGTGCTAACCATGGCACTGAACCCGAAACTTTAACTCTGACTTTTTCTTCACAGATGCTGCCAGACCTGCTGAGTTTTTCTAGAAACTTCTGTAAATCAGGAACAAAACAGCATCTGCAGTTCTTTTGGTTTTTATTTGGAATAGGTAAGAGGCATGGTCGAAGCGAGGTCAGGTCTAGTGACGTATAAAGTTTGGTTAGATACGATGGTTCTGAAAAAGCAATTTTTTTTGTATATAACAAACAATAAGGGTCCCAGTATTGATCCTTGTGGTACACCAACTGACACCAGTCTCCAATTACTCAAATTACCTATTAATAAATCAGTTTCTGATCTATCTCACCAGGTTTCCCTCAATTCCCTGTGCTTTATCTTCTCAATCAGTCTCCCATGTGGGACCTTATCATTAGCTTTGCTAAAATCCATATAAACTACATCAACTGAACTTCCCTCATCCATGCATTTGATCACATTTTCAAAAAATTCTGACAAATTTGTTAGACATGACCTCCTTCTGACAAAGTCATACTGACTATCTCTAAGTAACCCATGCCTTTCCATCAGAAGTCCTTCAGAATTTTCTCCAATAGTTTCCCTACCTTTGACATGAGACTCACCGGTCTGTAATTTCCTGGTTCATCCCTACTGCCCCTCTTAAAAAGTGGAACCACATTAGCCGTCCTCCAGCCCTCTGGCACTTCCCCTGTGGCCAGAGAGGAATTAAAAATTTGTGTCAGAGCCTGTGCAATTTCCTGCCTCACCTCCCACAGCCTCCTGGGATGCAAATCATCTGGGCCAGGGAAATTGTATGTTTTTAAGCTTGACAGAGGCTCTAACACTTCTCCATTCCTATGTCAAACTGTGCAAGTTCTTCACAGTACCTTTTCCTGAATTCTATACCTACATTCTCCTTTTCCAGAGGGAAGATTGAAGAGAAGTATTAATTCAACACCCTGCCAACATCCTATGGCTTCACACACAGGTTGTCCCCATGGTCCCTAATTAGGTCCTACTCTTTCCCTGGTTAACCTCTTCTCTTTAATGTATTTAAAAACCTTAATGGTAAGGGGAGCTGAACAAAGAGACTTTGGGGTGCAGGTTCATAGTTCTGTAAAAGTGGAGTCATAGGTAGACAGGACAGTGAAGAAGGCATATGGTACGCTTGTCTTCATTGGTCAGTGCATTGAGTATGGGAGTTGGAAGGTCATGTTGTGGTTGTGCAGGACATTGATTAGGCCACTTTTGAAATAGAATGTTCAATTCTGGTCTTGCTGCTGTAGGAAAGATGTGAAACTTGAGAGGGTTCAGAAAAGATTTACAAAGATGTTGCCAGGTTTGGAAACATAGAAACAAAGAAGATAGAAGCAGGAGGAAGCCATTCGGTCCTTTGAGCCTGCTCTGCCATTCTTCATGATCATTGCTGATCATCCAACTCGATAGCCCAAGTGTTATATCAAGCCACCTCTAAGAACATAGAACATAGAACAGTACAGCACAGTACAGGCCCTTCGGCCCACGATGCTGTGCCGAACTTTTACCCTAATCCTAAGATCTATCTAACCTCCACCCCTACCTTATACTTTCAGCCATATGCCTATCTAATTGCCACTTAAATGTCCCTAATGAGGCCAACTCCACTACCCTCTCCGGCAATGCATTCCACGCCCCGAACACCCTCTGAGTAAAGAACCTACCTTTGACGTCTCCCCTATATCTACCTCCACTCACTTTAAAACTATGTCCCCTCGTAATAGCTACCTCCACCCTCGGAAAAAGTCTCTGGCTGTCCACTCTATCGATACCTCTGATCATTTTGTACACCTCTATTACTTAATAGACCTCATCTGCATCCTAAATGGTCTACCCTGAATCCTCATACTGTGACACCTGGTTCTGGACACACCCACCATCAGGAACATCCTCCCTGCACCTACCCTGTGTACTGCTGTTAGAATTTTATAAGTGTCTGTGAGGTTCCCCCCAGTTCATGTGAACTCCAGCCAAAACAATCCTAACCTAGTCAATCTCTTTTCATATATCAGTCCCACCATCCCTGGAATCAGCCTGGTAAACCTTTGTGGCGCTCCCTCAAGAGCAAGAGTATCCTTCCCCAGAAAAGAGACCAAAACTGCACACAATATTCCAGGTGTGGCCTCATCAAGGCCCTGTACAACTGCAACAACACACCCCTGCTCCTGTACTTGAAACCTCTCACAATGAAGGCCAACATATCATTTGTCTTCTTTACCGCCAGCTGCACCTGCATGCTTACCTTCAGAAACTCATGCACAAGGACACCCAGATCCCAATGCACACTCCTCTCTCTCCCAATTTACAGCCATTCAGGTAGTAATCTGCCTTCATGTTTCTGCTTTTTTTTTGTTTTTGGAGGGTTTGAGTTAAAGGGAAATGCTGAATAGGCTGAGGCTATTTTCCCTGGAACATAGGAGGTTGATGGGTGACCTTATAGAGGTTTATAATATCATGAAAGGCATAGATAGGGTCAATAGCCAAGATCTTTTCCCCAGGGTAGGAGAGTCCAAAACTAGAGGACACAGGTTTAAGGTGAGAGAGTGATTTAAAAGGGGCAGTAGAGGCAACTTCTTCATGTAGAGGGTGTATGGAATGAGCTGCCAGAGGAGGTGGTAGAGGCTGGTACAATTACAACATTTAAAAGACACCTGAATGGGTATATGAATAGGAAGGGTTTAGAAGAATACGGGCCAAATGCTGGCAAATGGACTAGGTTCATTTAGGATACTGGCTGGCATGGACAAGTTGGACTGAAGAGTCTGTTGTCATGTTGTACATCCCTATGATGGAATCTCCCAAATCTTGTTCGCAAATCCGTTTTCATGTCTCTTTTTGCTCTTCTAATCGCTTTCTTAAGTTCCCTCCTGCACTTCCTGTATTCCTCTACGGCCGTAGTTGAATTGCTCCCTTTGGACTTGCTAAAAGCACTACTCTTCTTCTTTGTCCAGTCTTGCATTGTCCTAGACATCCATGGTTTTGAACATATTGCTCCTACCTTTCCCTATAAAGGGTACATGTTGGACCTGTTTTCTCTCTTTTTGAATGCCTTCCATTACTCCACTGCGGACTTACCCACAAAGAGCTGTTCCCAGTCCACTGTGGCCAGCTCCTGCTTTACTTTAATAAAATCTATCTTCACCCCTTTGCAGGCCATCTTTTTCCTTGTCCAGAACAAATTTGAACCATACCGTGTTGTGGTCACTATTGCCTAAATGTTCCCCCACTGCCACACAGAACACTTGTTCAGAACCAGCTCCAGCCTTCTACGTATTGATACAAAAAACTCTCCTGGATACATTTCAAGAAGTCAGCCCCCTCTAAACCCTTAATGCTATGACTATCCCAATTTATGTTTGGAACATGGAAATCTCCTAGTATAATTAATTACCTGATTATTACTCTTACACACCTCTATGAACAGTCTTCATCGCTGCTCCTCTACTTCCTGCTGACTCTTTACTGGGAGTATGTTATAGGCCCCCAAAGTAGCTGTTCCCCCCCCTCAACATTTCTAAGTTCTACCCACAAAGCCTTGTTTGAGGACCCTTCTAAGATATCATCTCTCCTTATTCAGTAATTGACTCCTCAACCAGAGACAGGAACTGAATATCCAGGGCTATTTATCATTACCATTTATAACACCCCTGATTGCTTATATGCTGCTGCAGAGTTACTGGGAGCACTATGTTTTCAGCTGAATTGACTGTAGTTGCTTGGGTCATACTGGACCAGTGGAAGGGGTGGTGAGCTTTTGAAAGGCCTTTGAATTAAACAGCTACTGATTAGTCACAAGGCTGTAGTTACAATTTGCAGAATGACAATGGTATAGAGCAGAGACTGCAGAGAAGTCTGTCAGTGTGGTAGAAGACTGTTTGTGTGGCATTGTAGATACTGTCCAGATATGCAGACAGTCTCAAAATATCAACAAAATATCTAACCTAGATCACTGATTCTTAGTCCAGATTATGCACACCTAATTAAAAATGGACATGCAATTTAAGTCAGGACAATGGTTGGGTGAACATAAGTAGCTGTTTGTTCATTAAGTTAAGGCTCTGCAGTGGGTAAAGGCTGGGATGGTGTCTGCTTTAAGATGAGAAGGAAAATGACTGAGCAGCAATTGAGATGAATTTACTCTATTTCCTTCCTTTGAGGGCCATTGTAATTTAGTCTCAGTCTATGTGCTGTTGTCATTCATGTGACTAGATCTCCCTTGATTCTGTTCAAGCAGCAATGTCAGGTCCAGTCTGACAACTCCTGCACAATGTGGTATCCATTTAAAGGAAAGGACCGTGGCTATTCCTATAATAAGCTCCTGGCATGTTTTCCACCTAATTTAGGCTGCTTAGGCTGAGGAATTTGAAATGTCTCAGTTTCGAACTCAGTGTAATTTTTTGACCGATCAAATAATATCCTTAGATATGTTATGGATAAACATAGTAGGAAAATGACAGCAGTAATGGATTTGTATGACCATTCCCCCCGTGTCTGCATGGTTTTCCTCCGGGTCCTCCAGTTTCCTTCCACAGTCCAAAGATATTTAGTTTAGGTGGTTTGGCCATGGGAATTACAAGGATAGGGTTGGCGTGATTCTGGGTATGATACTCTTTGGAGAGTCTGTATGGACTTATTGGGCCAAATGGCTTATTTTCACACTGAAGGGATCTATTTGCCCACAGTGAGATATACCACAGATTTTCAGATGTTACCTGTGGGCTATAATGTTTACAAAATATTCATTGGTGGACCAATGTAATTTCTAAAGTAGCAACTTGGAGACAGGCAGGGAAGCTAACAGCTGCAGTTTGACAAAGTTTCCAGAATGTTGTGCTTCTGACTGTTGATACTTACAACCAGCTTGGATTTGCACGCCATTTTGCAGAATTCCTTCTGATCCTTGCGGAATCTGACAGCTGAGGTTTCCAACTGTTTGGTTGAAAGCAGAAATGTTGACTTGGGATACGGTCCTGTTCACAATTGTGTACTGTGTCTTGTCAATGTACTTATTGTCGAGTTGCCACAGTATCTGAGAGGCGTGAGTGATAGAGCCCATAACACAGGAGGTGTTTGTTATTTTGCAGGTAGCAACCAGTGATGATCCCAGGTGCACAGGGTTGGCACTGACTGAGATCCTGAGGCATTCATGTGCATCCGAAAGAACTCCTGTAAAGAAATAGGAGCAAACAGTCATCACATCGATGCTTTATTTTAAAACCACTGTTTTGTAACTGACATCTAAATAACTTGGGAAAGGCTAAACCTAACCCACTTATCTTATTAGACAGCTTCCAATCAGATTGAAGTGATGGGAAGAGTCTTTTCATGACATTAAAGAACTACAATCCACCAGTTAGAGATAGCAAGAACTGCAGATGCTGGAGTCATAGACAACACAGTGTGGAGCTGGAGGAACACAGCAGGCCAGGCAGCATCAGAAGAGCAGGAAGTCTATGTCCCGGGCCAAAATGTCAACTTTCCTGCTCCTCTGATGCTGCCTGGCCTGCTATGTTCCTCCAGCTCCATATTGTGTTGAGTCTGCAATCCACCAATACTCCTGTCCACAAAAAGCACTAATCAACAACATAATGGGGGCTTTGACAAAGACAAAGATGAGATCCACTAGGTTCAAGGACAGTCAGTGGCTAGGATTTGGCATTTTGGAGTTCACGTATGGCAGCTGATGTACCCTCTGCCTGGTCCGGGATGAGCATTCTCACACTATCGAACGGTTTTCAGCTAATTTAATATGCAATGAAATTGAAGAGCATGTTAAATGGCAAATCGCATGTGACTCTTGGGTGAATGTTCTGAACCCACACTCCCCTTCACTCACTGGGAAATCTCGTTTGTTCATTTGATTACCTCGAAAGATGAAAGGAGAGACTTAATTCAGAGGCCCAGGCTAGTGCTCTGTAGATGGGATTTCAATTCCCACTGTGGTACATGCTGCAATTTAATTTCAATTATTAAAATCTGGATTTGAAATTTGTCTACAGTGTCATCTTCCAATTTGAAACCTTGTTTCTCACTTACTCAAAAAATATAATGAGACTGGGTGTAAAAAGGCTTGTGCAGCTTCATGGTAATGTACCTATATCTGAGCCAGAAGGTCTTTACCTGGATGGCATCACAACACAAAGCATTGGCTGGAGTGCCTCCTCACCCTGGTAATGTTATTTTAATTCATTAGATTTTTATTAAAGTTTTGTTCTAGCTGCAGTGAAGGTTTCATACACCTTCAAGGGGTTGATGATTAATTTAGATTACGGAATCATTATGGCACAATAGGAGGCACTTCAGCCCATCATCCTTACACCTTCCCTAATCTCCTGCCTTTATCCCACATCCCTGCGCACCATTTCTATCCAAATAACTATTTAAAGCCTCAACTGAACCTGCCTCCACATTTCCAGACAATGCATTCCATACCCTAACAGAAAGTAAAGTTGTCATGGTCTTACCAGATCATAGGGCTGGTCTCTCATTGGAGAGAGATGACTGTTGGTGGTTATAACCTGATGGTCACCATGCCTCAGATGACGGGAGAGTTTGAGAAGGAGACTCCTTCATGGAAACAGTGCAGGAATTGAACCCAAACTGTTGATATTGCTCTGCATCACAAACCAGCCATCCATCAACTGTGTTAACCAACAAATCACTCTGTGAAAAGCATTTTTTCTCACGTCATCCCTTGTTTTGTTTACACATCGCTTTAAATCACTTCAACCCTTTCGGTCTTGTTCCTTTTACGAGTGGAAGCAGCTTCACCTTATCTATACTGTCGAGCCCACTCATGATTTTGAAAAGTTCAGTCAGATCTCCTCTCAGTCTTCTTCTCTCCAGGAAGATCAGTCCTCAAAACTGACATTTCTCATTCATCGCACCATTCTTTCCAATGCATTCATATTCTTCCTATAATGTGATGTCCATGACTGTAAATAATACAGGTCTGACAAGTCTCTTTGACCAAGATCTTTGTATCCTCGCGAGCTACTAGAGAGGTCCCTGAGGACTGGCAAGTAGCCAGTCTGTTCCTCTGTTCAAGAAGGGAAATGCGGATAATCCAGGAAACGATAGACCGGTGAGTCTCACAGCTGTGGTTGGGAAGCTACTGGATATTCTCAGGGATAGGATTTACACACATTTGGAAAAGCATGGCCTAATTCGGGACAGTCAGTATGGCTTTGTGCAGGGCAGGTAATGTCTTACTAACTTGATCGAATTTTTCAAGGAGGCGATGAAGGTGAGCAGAGAGATGCAGCAATCGATATTGTCTACATGGATTTTGGTAAGGCTTTTGACAAGGTCGCTCATGGCAGGCTTACCAGAAGACTAAAATGCAAGGGATTGACTTGGGCACATGGATTCAGAATTGGCTTGCCCACAGAAGACAGAAGGTAGTGATGGAAGGGTGTTTTTCTGTTTCGAGGTCTATGACTAGTGGTGTTCCATAGGGATCTGTACTGGGACCTCTGCTTTTTGTGATATATAGAAATGACTTGAATGAAAATGTAGATGGATGGGTTAGTACATTTGCAGACAACACAAAGATCAGTGGAGTTCTGGACAGTACAGAAGATTGTCAAAGGATACAGTGGGATATAGATCAGTTGTAGGTATGGGTGGAGAAATGGCAGATGGAGTTTAATCTGGGCAAGTGTGACATACTGCACTTTGGGAGATCAAATATTAAGGAAAAAAATATAGTTAATGGCAGGATACTGAACAGCTTTGATGTACAGAGGGATCTTGGGGATCGAGTCCAAAGCTCCCTGAAAGGGGCCACACAAGTAGATAGGGTGGTAAAGAAGGCATATGGCATGCTTGCCTTTATTGGTCGGGGAATTGAGTACAAGAGTCAGGATGTCATGTTGTAGCTTTATAAAACTTTGGTTAGGCCACAGTTAGAGTACTGCATTCAATTCTGGTTGTCACATTACAGGAAGGATGTGGAGGCTTTGGAGAGTGTGCATAAGTGCTTCCCAGGTTGCTGCCGAGAGGGGATGACCTATAAGTTGAGGCCAGAAAATTTCAGGTGTTTTCTCTGAAGTGGCGGATGCTGATGGTGAGACTTGATAGAAGTCTATAAAATGATGAGATGCATAGATAGGGTTGATGGTCAGAATCTTTTTCCCAGAGTTGAAATGACTAAAATAGCGAGCATGCATTTAGGGTGAGAGGAGAAATGTTCAAAGGAGATGTGAGGGGCAATTTTTTTTAAAAAAAGTGGTAGGAGTCTGGAACGTGCTGCCAGGAGTAGTGGTGGACGCAGATACAATAGGAGCATTTAAGGGACTTTTATATAAGCACATGAATATGCAAAGGATGGAGAGATATGGACCAATGGCAGGCAGAAGAGATTAGTTTAATTTGGTCAGAGATAGTAGGAACTGCAGATGCTGGAGAATCCGAGACAACAAGGTGCAGGGCTGGATGAACACAGCAGGCCAAGCAGCATCATAGGAGCAGAAAGGCTGACGTTTCGGGCCTAGACCCTTCATCAGAAAAGGGGGAGGGGAAGGGGGTTCTGAAATAAATAGGGAGAGAGTGGGAGGCGGAAAGAAGATGGATAGAGGAGAGGATAGGTGGAGAGGAAACAAACAGGTCGAACAGGCGGGGATGGAGCCAGGAAAGGTGAGTGTAGGTGGGGAGTTAGGGAGGGGATAGGTCAGTCCAGGGAGGACGGACAGGTCAAGGGGGCGGGATGAGGTTAGTCGGTAGGAGATGGGGGTG